TTTGTTAAATTTTTCAGGTAAAAGAAGATACAGAATTTTGACAATTACTTTAAAGAGAGCTTCCTCTGGTCGCTCTGGAAAGAATGAGTTGGAGAAGGGTGGCTGCCAATGACTTCACTTTGCCTTTTGCAAAATAATATAAAATAGTCTTCATGGTATTCTAGGGACCACATCCAAGACAGAGTTTTTAAAAATTAGAGCAACAACCTAAACATTGTATAAAGTAGTGCATGTGGTCACCATGGAGTGGCTATTGTGGTAGTGGTTTTTTTTTTTCCTCTCTCTCTTTGCATTAAAAGGGGGGGGGGGTGCTCCCACGCTGACCTATTGGCACCTTATAGAGAAAAGGGCTGCCAGYCATAGCATCAGCTCCAGCTCTGGAAAAGTCCCCAAAGGAAAAGATCCCAATCCGGTCAAAGGTTTGGGAGCAGAGGGACATCCCTGAGTTGACAATAGGTTAATAAACTAGTTCAGATAGCCCCAGGATTTCCCCCAGGTCAATCCCCAGGTAGAAAGAAAAGCCCCGCCTACTGCAGGTACAAGAGGCGAGACCCAGACTAGGAAGCTGCAATGGACATGAGCCTTGCGAATCAGGAAGACTCTCCAGGGACAGGAATGACCTGGAGCTCAAGTGAGGTACCTGGAAATCCCCTGGGGTGGGAGGACACTGCTTTAATCTCCCTCTTCTGGAACAGGTTCTACAGTCACCTGTGTGTGTCCACACTGGAAAGACACTTGTGTCTGAGCACAGCCCATCTGAAGAGCACTGTGTCTGATCCTGCCCAAGACAGGAATTTCTCCTCCACTGTGGCCAGGCCATTTCCTGGAGCTGTGGATGTGGCTTAATGGTCGAATAATAAGCCACATCCACATCCCTGGTTATCATCTTATTCCAATGAGCAGCCATTAAAGTTAACAAAAATAAATTACACAGCAAAATAAATTAACCAACTAGGCACAAAGAAAGTCTGTACAGGGAGGAGTGGAAGAGAAGACACACTAAGGCTGTCACTAATATCAGGCAAACTCAAGTTGGGGCCCATCCCAGTTTTGTTTGTTTGTTTGTTTGCTTTTATACCAGGAATTGAACCCAGGGGCACTTAACCACTGAGCCACATCCCCAACCCTTTTTATTTTTTTTATTTTGAGACAAGATCTCACTAAGTTGTTTAGGGCCTTGCCAAATTGCTGAGGCTGGCCTCGAACTTGCAATCCTCCTGCCTCAGCCTTCCGAATCTTTGGGATTACAGGCAAGCACCACCAACCATACCCAGCTTTCCAATCCCAGTTTTAAAGAATGCTGATTATTTCCCTTTGAAACCTATCCACCAAAAGTTTCCATTAAATTAACATTTTCATCATGCATTTAAATATGATTATTTGCAAAGTACACATCGACTTATACTTTTTCAGGAACATGTACTTCATTTTACCATGGGCTTCTCAACTCCTTGGAATGTTTTTCTCTTGGGCCTGCGAGACAGGGCCTTCTCCCTGTCTCTCTTTCTCTGTCCCCTCGCTCCCCTCCCTAAAAACAGGTATTCACCAAAAGTGCTTATATATATATATTTGGACTTTATCTCTTTATTCTTTCTTCTTGAGTAACTGTCCCCTACCTCCTTTGTCATCCATGTTGATAACAATAGCTAATAATTACAAGTGCTCGCTCTGTCCTAAACACTGTACTAAACCCTCTGGTTTAATCCTCACAAGAGTCCTGTGGATTCGACGCTATTATTATACCCATTTTTATTCATAGGACAACATAGGCTTGACGGATTTAAGCAACCTCCCCAAGATTACCCAACTAGTAAGAGCCAGTGTGTCTCACAGCCTCTGCTGACCGCCAATGACACTCCTGCACTTCATGCTATTCCACGAATTCTCTCACCTAGACACCCTTTCCAAGAGCTAACTCTWCCAGCCCTACAAACCCAGAATATCAACCAGCAAATATCAGGGGTACACAATGCCACGTTTGTACTGAGTTATTAAAATATTAAAATACTTCCAAACTCTGTTGCCTGGTACCCGTCCTATGCTCTGAAAACTTCCACTGCAGCAAGATCGCCCCAAAGAAGCAACCCTGGCATGGTGCAGAGGGGCAGGAACATGTACTGGTGCAGAGGGGAGCTTTGCACTCTGCTGGCCTTTGCCCTTGCAGGTGCTAAACTTGACTACATATTGTTTATATAATTTCTGCCACCTCCTCCTCCTCCTCCTTCTGTCTCAGCAAACCAGTTCCTCCTACTAACTTCCTTATTTCAGGGGCCCCCACCTCATTTTCCAGTTCCCCTTCTACGCAGCCTGATCCCGCCCTCCTTTCCTCTCCTGCTTTCATTCACCTTCATTCTGGTCTGCAGCTTTGACCTCTTTTACCTCTGCAGTATCACCTCCCACCTCCATCCCCTCCCTACAGTCTCCACCCTGGAACAGATCCCTCTGCCTCTGGCCCAGTTTCCTTGACTCCTGCCAGTCAGTTCCCATTCCCAGTCCCTTCCTCCTCCTATTGTTAAGATCAGGTGTTCAAGGCTAAAACTTCCCTTCCCACCTTACATCCTAAAAGACATCCATCTTCAAACCAACTGGTGCCTTATATATTAGAGTGCCTTATCCAGAGAAATTTGTTAAATCTAGTAAATTGATATCCATCTATTTCCAAAGTTTTCTTCCTATTCCAATTACCACCTCTCATCCCTAAAATACAAATGTTATAGCCATCACCTCAGTGCTATCACACCCTGCTTATTCTACTCCCTGAGAGTAGAACACCTGATCTTAACAATGTAGGGGAGAAAGGGACTGGGAATGGGAACCCTCTGGCAGGGGTCAAGGAAACTGGACCAGAAACACTGGCAGGCAGCATGTAGATCTCCCAAAGCTTCTCCCTGCCCCTTTTTTCCCTGGTCCTGGCTGACCATGTCCTATCCGTCTGATTCCTGGGTATCCATATGCTAAGAACTATGGCATGTGCTGGGGGCTTAGCTGGAACCCTCCTACCCTGCAGGAACTCATGGCTGGAGCTGCAGGAGAAAGACAGACTCATGTGAAGAGACAAAAGATGGCTCACCTCCACCCCTGGCATGCCCAAGAGGCCATACAGACAGCTACACTGGGACACTCTTGTTCTGCGCCACCCTTTTTGAGGCATTTGCTGAGCAATTAGTCCATGCAGAGTTGTGAGCCACTATTTCTCAGCCCTAAGGCCTTGGGAATGTTGCTTAAGTTCCCTGTCACTCCATTTCCTCGTCTATAAAATTGGACGGTAAGTAAGCTCCCTCATAGGGTAACTGCGAGGGAAGCATTTAGAGCACTTTGACAGAGTCGGTGTGTAGTAAGGATAGCAATCGTTTTTATTATCTGACATCAATGGTCACAGGAAATTAAAGATGCAAAATGCCTCTGCAAACTGTCACCTGGGATCTCAGGGAATTTCTGAAAGTAGAAGCCCAGAGAGTCTCTCCCAGAGAACGTCATCCAAACTCCCTCAACCCAGACCTCATTCTGTCCCTTCCCTGACYACTCCACAAAGAATGCATAGGGAACAGCTGGGGGACTTGCTTACAGTGGCCAGGGGCCCTCTGAGGATGGAGATTTCAACTCTCACCAAGTCACATACCCTTTGGATTCAGGCCCATTTGGCTCATTCAAGAAATATTTGGCGAGGACCCACTGTGTGCCTGCTATGCGAGGGGTAGTGGTGTAGACAGTAGGCACCGTACCTGTCCACAAGTGCTGTATTCTGTGGACCACCAAACTCATTAGCTAGTAAATGCTATGAAGTTTCAGAACATGAGCTATGTGGGCAGGGCCTACTGGGTGCAGTCAAGAAAGGCTTCCCAGAAGGGACACTTGCACTGAGACCTGAAAACTGAGTATCACATTTTGAGGGGGGGAAAGGCAAGTGTGTCCTGCTTTTCTTCACAGTGCCTGTCATGGGGACACAAAAGTACTATACTGTGCTTGAAGAATTCCCAGACTTCCTGTGAGCGCCAGCTGTATGGTTTATTGATTCTCTCTGTGAGGCTGCCACAGCCCTTCATCCTACTGGTGAGCAGTACCCAGGACCTCAAAAATGTCAGCCTCACAAGATAGGGTCTAAACTTTGTCCCCTGAGGACAGMCAGCCAGCTTTCTCCACACAACAACCCAGGGGACAGGGACAAGTGGTTGTGATGCTAGATAGGAGTCAAGTAGGGTCCCAAGCAGGGCCCCTAGGCTGCTGTGGGCCAACTCTCAGGTGTGGCAGCTTCTTGATCCTTCTTAAAGGGATGAGGGTCCTTCGTCTGAATTAGGAGGCATGGATCTTTAAGAGATACCTGGGGAGTGATCTTTAAGAGATACCTGGGGAGTGACAGGCAGGGAAAGAGGACTGGACAGAGGGAAGGGACAAGAAGATATGACACCTATGAACTGAACCAGCCCTGGCTGGCCTTAGATGCCTCCACCAGCTCCTAGGTTCTCTCTCGCCTTGGACTCCCTGGGGTGCCTCATGGGCTATGAAGGTCGTCAGAAAACAGGCTGCTAGCAAAGAAAACCCTCTGAGCTTTAGTTTCCTGGAAAAGGTAGCCTCTGGGGGATGACTGCGCCTCCACTCCAGGTCCTTCCAAACCTGCTCAGGCTCAGCCTCAGCGGCTGGTGGTGATTCTGCCCAGACCTGTTGCTCCTCCCTTTGCGGCTCAGTTTTCATCTGAGGGGTTAGAGGTGCTCTGTCCTGATCCAAGGTGTCTCTGGCTATGCCTGTCCTCTGGAATAAGCACTCGTGGGGGTACAAGGTGAACCCTAGGGACTGACTCCCGAGATTTGGGGACGCGGTGGTAGAGGCCTGGGGCAGAGAGAGGATAGCTACCGTTGTCCGCTCTGCCTGTGCCCTAGAGCAGCAGGACTGGGCCCCGCGGAGCTCTGGGACGCACAGTCACCGAGTGGTGCTGGAGCTGGGTGCCCGCTGGCCCGGCCCCTGGATCCTGTCCTCAGCCAAGGGGCGGACAGCTGCCGACTTACCCAAAAGTTTGCCTTGAATAGTGAGCCCGTCATGCTGGCGCGAGTAGGTGGCGCGGAGGAGAGTCGGTGCAGCGGGAGGGAACACGACAGGAGGCCTGCCAGTCTCAGCCCTCGGTCAGGCACAACTTCGGAGTTCCACCGTAGCGCTGGGAAACCGCCCCCAGGTCCTAAGCCACGCCCGATTCCGCTGGCCGCAGTCCACCCTCTGCGCTCCACCCATCCCCGCCAGCGCGCACCAAGGAATTTGGGGGATCCGACGCACTAGCCGGGTAAAGGGTGCGATCTATGCCCGGATCCAGGCCAACCTGAAGCGCCTCGTCGACATGCAATCATCAGTAAGAGCCCTGAATCCTCCCTTCTTCAGGAAGCCTTTGAGGGTTGCAAAGAAATGGTCCGGAATTCGACTCCGGTTTCTGCCCACAAGACCCCGCTCAACCGAATCCCTCGCGGAGAAATCCAGGCTCTTTGGTTCGCCGAAAGGAGCCTCGGAACCAGCCTGATCAGAGGGTGATGGTGAGGACCCTGTGTTCGCTCCCTAAAGCCTGGGAACTGACAAGCTAGCGGAAGAAATAGACGCTTTGGCGAGTCCTGTGCGCGACTCGGGGAGCATCCACTGCAGGTCAGGCCCTACAGTTTTAGTCTAAAATGTCATTGCTGCAGTCTCCCCTTGACTCTAGGTCCCTTAGCAGGAGCTCAGCTCTTCTCTGACCCCCCTTGGGGTCCTCAGGACCCAAGATTCTTCTTCACCAATCCCACCCCAGCAGTAGGAGCCCGAGCTTCCACCCTTATAAATATAACCCCAGAGCAAGTTAGATCCGTCTCTGCCTTGAAGTAACACGGAACCCCAGGTCTAGCGCTGCCGGTTGCTGTTTCTTAAGAGGGTCCGAGGCAAGACAACAACCAGTCACCCCAGGCAAGAAGTAGCGGGGCTCAAGGAGGGGAGATGAAGGTCAAGGGTACGGTGACTGGTTAATACCCCGCCCGCAACCTAGCTTGGAAATGCAACCATTTGCCTCTTAATGCCCTTCTAATTAGGTCCAGACATAGTGAAAAGGCAGTTGCTAGGGTGACTTGGAAGACTAAAAGTTTCTGTACCCCTTAACACTACCCCAAATCTATTGTGATGACACCCTACCAATAAAGTCACCCATAACTAAAAAGATGGAGCGATGACCTCCAGCCCTGGGCTTTTCCAAGGACACACACTGATCGGTTCACCTAGTGGTTCCTATGCTTTGAAAGCAGTGAGGTCAGAGGAAGGCAGGGAAGTTTGGCAGGATCAGCAGGGGGCACCAGAAGCATGGACTAAACTGCAAGGGTGAAAAGGGCACCCCTAACAAGTTGGCGTGCCAAAGGCAGTACCTGGTTTTTTCATGGAAATTTTAAATATTTGGGACAAATGTTTTGGATGTAATTGTCACTGTCTGTGTTTTAAATTTTAACACATGTATATTGTTTTTAAAGTTACTAACAAGCTTTCCTGATACATTGTGCCCAACTTTCCTGCCTCAGATCTCTAGATCCTRGAACTTTAACTCTTTTCCACCACCTGGTGGTAAAATTTAAAATGGCTGTCCAGGCTGCCAGAACTTATTCCTCAAATTATTAAACTTATTGTTGGAGCAGGCAGTGTATTTAAAAGACAAGTGAAATTTCAGATATTTTGAGAACAAAGTTAAATAATATTGCCACAGAAATTTTGCAATAATGAAATTAAATAACCAGGACATGAAGATAACCACTGCACATATTTTAGCATAATCTCTTCCAATGATATCCATTTGCATGGGTAAATTCTTACTGTACACAAAATTTTCAGTTGTGCTCTTTTAACTTAACGATATTTCACCAGTGTTGCCTAAATACACTTTTTCTAACAAAAAGTCTAATAGCACTCTTAAGCAAATAGACCCTTCTGCATGTAAAACTCAAAAATTGGCAAAAAAATTGATTTTCAAGATCAAAGATTAAAATAATCCACTGTCTCACATACTATTGCAAATAACCAATTAAGATTTTGTGGGCTGGGGATGTGGCTCAAGCGGTAGCACGCTCGCCTGGCATGCATGCGGCCAGGGTTCGATCCTCAGCACCACATACCAACAGAGATGTTGTGTCCGCAAAAACTAAAAAATAAATATTGAAAAATTCTCTCTCTCTTTCTCTCTCCTCTCTCACTCTATCTTAAAAAAAAAAAAAGATTTTGTACTGTTTGCTTACTCCATTGTTTCTCTGTTGGGAACTTTTCTCATGGAGAAAGCCACCATCGCTCTTCATTTGTATCCCAGGCGTATGCTTTATCACCAAGAGCTGTTCTGATACTAAGTCTCACTTTAAAGGCGTTTTCTGCATCATGGGTGGGGTGAGGTCTTTAGTTCCATCCCAAATTC